ACCTGGATCAGTAGGTGGCGGAGGGGGGCCTTTGAATCAGTTTCCCCCCAGGCTCGGGGGCGGTTCTGAGTTCGTGTCCCTGTTCGGGGAGGAGGTGCCCGACTCAGTTTCCCCTTCGGATCCGGGTGGGAGGTGCCGCCTGCCGGTGTCCTTAAGGAAAGTAGAAAGGCCCTGACTCAGTTTCCCCGAGTAGAGGGCGACCGCCATCCCCGTGTTCCCCGGGAGCAGGTGTCCTGGCTCCTCTCCCGCCCTGAGTTCCGCCCCGTCCCCCGGGAGCGGGCCCTGCCTCAGTTTCCCTGGGGGAGCTGGGAAGGGGCTTGTGCTGACCCTTTTCTCCCTCCCCTTTCAGACCTGTTCCCCCTCATCTTCCCCTCCGGTAAGTGGACCTCCCTCCCTCCCTAGAGCTGCCAGGGGTGGGGGCGGCGGGGCGCCCCCTGATGGGCTGTGTGTCCGCAGAGCCCGCCCAGGCCCCGGGCCCCTACGTGGAGATCATCGAGCAGCCCAAGCAGCGGGGCATGCGCTTCCGCTACAAGTGCGAGGGCCGCTCGGCGGGCAGTATCCCCGGCGAGAGGAGCACCGATACCACCAAGACCCACCCCACCATTAAGGTCAGCGGGGCCCGCGGGCCTGGCTCGGTGGGGAAGGTTTGCCTCCGGCCCGTGCAGTCCGCGTCTGGGACTTGGGTCCGGAATTCCTGAGCCTCCAGCGTGCGCTCTGTGCTTTGGACAGATCATTGGCTACACGGGGCCGGGGACGGTTCGCATCTCTCTGGTCACCAAGGACCCCCCGCACCGGCCTCACCCCCACGAGCTGGTCGGGAAAGACTGCCGGGATGGCTTCTATGAGGCCGAGCTCTGCCCGGACCGCTGCATCCACAGGTGAGCTCCCCCAGGCCCGCGGGGCCTCAGGGTGCGGTGGGGGGACAAGGGGAGGGCCGTGTCCCGGTTACAGTCACTTCTTTCTGGACACGGGGCAGAATTCCTTACTGCTGCTGCGTCCCCAGCTCTGCAGGCAGATGTCTCCTCTCTCAGGCAGATCTTCATTGCAGCGCAGTGGGAAGCCATGTCAGATGGGGCCGGGGCCCTAATTACCTCTGACCCCAGCCCTGTGTCTGGACCATCTTTCTCACGAGAAAGAAAACCTCAGAACCAAGTCTCCCCTGGAGCTTACAAACCAGTTGACAGAGACGGGCTGTAAATAAAAATGTAAATAATAAGCAAAATCCTGTCCGAGAGTAATAATCTCATGTTGAAGATGAAACAGGAACCAGTCCGGAGAATAGCCTGGGGTGGGGAGGCGAGGGAGCTGGCCTCATTGCTTTGAACTGGGAGGCTCAAGAAGGCCTCTTCCAGGAAAGATGAATGTGAGCTGGGGCAGGGAGGCACGGAGAGGACATTCCGCGCAGAATGCACAAGTGGGACTGGGTTTAGCATGTTTGGAGAACAGAAAAGAAGCCGCTGGGACTGAGGGCAGGGAGCTGGCAGGGGCTGTGGCTAGGGCCACATCACAGGCAGAGGGTCTTGTCAGCCAGAGTGAGGAGTAGGCTTCATTGCAGCGCAGTGGGAAGCCATTCCAGGGGTTGAGCCTGGAGTGGTCTGGTGAGGGGATAGGGGAGGAAGGGACAGACTGGGTGAGGCAGGAGGCCCAGGCGCCGCTGGAAACAGTGCGCCTGATGCCTGGGGAACTCAGCTTCCAGAACCTGGGGATCCAATGTGTGAAGAAGCGGGACCTGGAGCAGGCCATCAGTCAGCGCATCCAGACCAACAACAACCCCTTCCAAGGTGAGGGCTGAGGGCTGAAGGCCTGGGCCTGTCTGGAGCACCCCCACCCTCTGTCACCCTTCTGTGGCCACTCCCTGCATCTCCCTCACTGGCCAAGACTCACAGTACAGATGGAATCTTGCTGGCCATTCGGTACACTCCCATTTTACCACTGGGGAAACAGACCCAGAGAGGGGACGTGACAGCCAGGGTCACACAGGTCAGTGATGGGTCTAGAGCCTTCTCTTCCTCCTCTAGGACGCCTACTGTTTCACATACCCTCAAACAGCCCTTGCTAGAACCCCAGCTCCCTGCCCCCAGCCCCTGCCCCGGCTCTCCTGACCACCCGTTTTCCTGGCAGTTCCCATGGAAGAGCAGCGCGGAGACTACGACTTGAATGCTGTGCGGCTCTGCTTCCAGGTGACAGTGCGGGACCCATCAGGCAGGCCCCTCCGCCTGTCACCTGTCCTCTCTCATCCCATCTTTGACAACCGTGAGTGGCCAGGGAGTGCAGGAAGGGAGAGGAATGGGCCTGTGAGGAGGAGGAATTGGTGGTTATGGCCTGCGAGGGGCACTTTGGCTTCACTCGGTCATCTGGCCTTTTCATCATCTCTGTGTCCTGTTCTGCTGCCCGGGAGGCAGGGCAGAGAGACTCGGCTGCCCTGTGGAGTAGCGCCCAGGCCGGCAGGGAGTTAGGTGAAAGGATGGCGTGCCCAGAACTGTAGTCATGACCAGGAAATGACTCCCAGAAGCAAGACAATGTTAGAAAGTAATAACTCAATGATGAAAGCCGACAGGAAGTTCACGGATCAATTGGGCTGACATTGATTAACTGCAGTCTTTAATTAAATAACCGAAAGGATGAATGAAAATAAAGGGCTCTTGCCCTGGCCGGTGTCTCTCAGTGGTTGGGCATTGTCCCATGCACCAAAAGGTTACCAGTTTGATGGCTGGTCAGGGCTCATGCCTGGGTTGCTGGCTTGATCCCCGGTGGGGGGAGTGCAGGAGACAGCCTATTCATGTTATGTTCTCACATTGATGTTTCTCTCGCTCCCTTTCCCTTCCTCTCTAAAAATCAATCAGATTTTTATTCTAAAAAAAAAAATAACAGGGCTCTAGGCCCTAAGGACAGGAAACTAGAATGAACAGGGGGTCAGGAGAGAAGGGTTCATTGCCAAAGTGGATGTAATAAACTGGGCCTTGAAGTCAGGTGGAGAAAGGAGGTGTGGCCAGACTGGTTCCCATGGACTGTAAGCTCCATGAGGGCAGAAATGCTTAGGTTTGAGTCGTTGCATTCATGCTTAGAAGAGTGCTGTACACGTAGTAGGGGCTGGTAAATAGTTGCTGACTTGGTTGGGGTGAGGAGCCAATGGGAATGGTTGAACCTTTGGCTGCAAAGGTGTGGTCAGCAAGCTCTGGATAATCTGACTTTGGGATGGACCAGGATGTTGCCTTTCCGGTAGGCCAGGCCTGGAGACCTCTGGTGGTTCAGGGCTTTCTTCCTTGTTCCCACCCTCCAGGCGCCCCCAACACAGCAGAGCTCAAGATCTGCCGAGTGAACCGAAACTCGGGGAGCTGCCTCGGGGGGGACGAGATCTTCCTGCTGTGTGACAAGGTGCAGAAAGGTACGTCCAGGAGGCAGGACTGGAGCGGGGTGAGGGCAAGGCTGAGCGGAGATGGAGAGTCGGGACTGGCTCTAAACGCTCCCCCGCCTCCTCGGGGAACAAGCATCGGCGATGGGGCGGGCAGCGGGCTGTGGTGAGGCGAGCACACCAGCCACACTGCCGCTCCATCTCCTGCAGAGGACATCGAAGTGTATTTCACGGGACCAGGCTGGGAGGCCCGAGGTTCCTTTTCACAAGCCGATGTACACCGACAAGTGGCCATTGTGTTCCGGACACCTCCCTACGCAGACCCAAGCCTGCAGGCCCCCGTGCGCGTCTCCATGCAGCTGCGGCGGCCTTCAGATCGGGAGCTCAGCGAGCCCATGGAATTCCAGTACTTACCAGACACAGGTACACAGCTGGGGAGGATGATTCAGCCGAGGAGAGGGAGGCCGGGGCTGGATGTGTGGGGCTGTAGTTGAGTCTAAAGCTAGAGCTGGGTGGGATTTGCACAGTAATCACGTTCTCTCTTGCCTTGCTGAATAATAACAATATTCAAGACTGTTGAGCTCATATGACACTCTTGCCTCTATTCCAAGCATATCAGCGCATTACCTGGTTTTATTCTCTCATGAACTTTTTGAGGCAGGAGATAGCATCTAATTTGCCTGAGGCCACACAGATAGTGAACCAGAGTCAGCAAGGGAACCCAGGCTTCTGGCTCCAGGGTCCTTTTGCCACGCTGTCTCTTGTCACTGTCACACAGCCATGGTTTCGTCAAGGCCTTTGTGCATCTCACCACAGTAGGAACAGCCAGAATGATCCTCTATCCAGTGCCCCTCATCTAGCCTGTTTTCTGCCCTAGGAGCTTGGAAAGCAACCCCCAAACCAGCCATCAATTCATTCC